CCCCCCCCCCCCCCCAAAAAATGCAGGACTAGGACTTTCCAGCGATCGTATATTACCCACGTCACGAGAGTATGGAATTGCCTTCCAACAGACTTAAGACAACCAAATTTAAGTTTAAGTACATTTAAAAGTTTATTACGACAATATTATTCGAAAGTCCTGCTCAGTTGTTTTGATGCAGAGGACCCAAGAACATGGAGATCTATATGTTTAAATTGTAACTCTTGTCGAAGTTTGACCAATGTTATCAACTGTTGTTTTTAGATATCTGTATGTAACCTATATGTTAAAAGGGCCCGCAGTAATTGGTTTTAACTGTTGTGGTGTCCCCGCCATTCGTCACTTGTATAGTTTTTGGATTTGTATTGTATGCATGTCATTCGTGTATTTTTACCTGGCGAAGTTAAATAAATAAATAAATATTGTTGCTTTGGCAGAGGTGGAGTGAATAACTTCCACCTCAGGGAAACGTGAATATGCATCAATAGCAACTAGAACATACTCTACGGTGGGAAAGGGACCACAAAAGTCTAAATGTATTGCGTGCCATGGTTCAGGAGGTAGATCATTCATTTTTAATGGTGTGGGTGGATTTGGGTGACTGTTAGCTTGGCATGCAATACAGCTGCCAATCATATCCCTAACAGCCTTATCTATGCCTGGAAACCATATTTTCTCACGTATTAATTGTTTTGTTTTGACAAGGCCTTGATGACCTTCATGCGCGATGGATATGGCTCGGTGCTGCAGTGAACGAGGTATAACAATACGAGACCCTCGCAAAACTATATCTGCCTCGTCATTAATGGTTAATTCGTCCCGAACGTTTATATACTTACGTATATCATCATTGTCTGTGTTGAGTTCATGCCATTTGGGTTTTGAATCCCACAATTGTTCACGAATAATTTTAGCAAGTCCTTGCAATGTTTTGTCCTTTTTGGTTTCATCCTTTATTTCCTGTAATGTCATTGCTTTCGGGATGGCATGGGTTGTAAGAAAATTGACATAATTCTCAGCGGCATCCTTTTGTGTATGGTCGACATCTCTGCTTAACGGATGCCGAGACAGAAAATCTGATGCATTGTTAGCACCACTGGTATAAACAACGTTAAAGTCAAAATCTTTCAATTCGTGCTGGTGGTTTTGACTTGGGGTTACTCAAAATGATCTCGATAGGCTTACAATCCGTATATAATGTAAATTTTGCTCCATGCAAGTAAAGATGTAATCGCTCCATTGCCCACACTATTGCCAATGCTTCACGTTCAATTTGTGACTATCGCCTTTCAACTTCCGACAAATATCTACTTATATAAGCAACAGCTTTTTGATCATTTGTGCCTGGCATACGCTGTGATAATATCGCTGATAAACCCCAAGGTGATGCATCAGTCGTGAGTTCAGTGTGTTTATTCCGATCAAAATATGCCATAACTTTGTCACTGGTGAGAACACGTTTTACATTGTTAATGCACACTCCTCATCATTTGTCCACCGGAAATGAGCATTCTTAACTGTCAATTTCCGGAGTGGTTCAGTAAGGTCACTAAAATTCGGAATGAATTTGGCACAATATGTTGCCATGCCCAAAAAGCTACGTATATCTTTCACACAACGGGGTGCAGGAGCGTTCTTAATAGCTGAAACTTTTGCAGGATCTGCAGAAATGCCATCAGATGAGAAAACTAGACCAAAGAATGTAAGTTTGTTTTGATTAAACAGACATTTCTCATCGTTTAAAGTTAAGCCAATTTCCATAAAACGTTGACAAACTGCATGTAAAGCATATGCTCGTTCTGGGATTTCCCATATATGATAACATCGTCACTGATATTAAGGGCTCCAGGAATATGTTTAATTTGATCATGTATAACCTTCTGAAATATTTCTACTGTCCTTAGATAAAGTCAGCTGGTGATATCCAGATCGTAAGTCAAGTTTTGAAAATACTTTTGCCCCATTCATTTCATGGATTAAGTCGTCAACAGTAGGAGTTGGATGGCGTTCACGTTTAATTGCACAATTAGGCATTCGCATGTCAACACACAAACGTACAGTCCCATCGTTTTTCGGAATTACCACAAGAGGTGAAACCCATGGGGTGGGCCCCTCCACCTTTTCAATGATACCGTCCTTTTCAAGTTGTTTTAGCGCGGTAGAAACCTTTCTGCGTAGATGGAATGGGACTCGGCAGGCTGATTGTGCAACTGGCGGCACCTGTTTATCAATATGTAATTTGACCTCAAAATTTTTCAGTTTACCAATTCCATTATAAATGCCGGGGTATTTCTTGGCAATGTCATTTGAAGACACACTCGGACTAACTTTGTTGACATGCAAAGTGATCATATTTAATTCTGATGCTGTCTGGTAACTGAGTAATGAACCACTATTGCCTTTCACGACATCGATACTTGCAACTGTTATTCGTTTCTTACTTTCAACAACAGTGTCAAACTTTCCGATTATTGGCAATTGTTTGTTTGATCCATATGCAAATAGCTTGGTGTGAGCTCGTTGTAACGCGACTGGTTTGACTTTGTTTATTTAAGCAAAAGTTGTTTCATCAATGATGTTGATTGATGCGCCTGTGCCTATTAACAGTTTGACCCGTACATTGTTAAGTTTAACTTTCACAGAAGGCATTTTTGACAATGTGTTGGTGTGACATCTACTTTACCCGCAGTTGCCATAATCAAAACTGCTATATATTTTATATTCGAATCACTATTAATGGATGGATGGATCAACTAATCAAAACTTTTTTTATCCCATTCTCGTCGCCATATGTAATATTCTCGTGTATACACTTTATTCTATATCCCGTACAAAAATACATCAATATCAATCCGTCCTGTCACATGACCCATGTGACTTGTCACATGACCAATGCTACAATACTGTTTAAAACACATTGTATATTTTGCTTGCTCATATGCTAAATCACTTCAATTCATTGGTTATTATGATTTTTTTTTTCTTTGTTGGTGTTGTGTACTCAGGTGAATAATATGTTTGCGATGTTACTCTGAGTGCATATCCACACCGGGCGAGCTTGAAAAATATGCCCGGCCACGGTGGGATTCGAACCTACGACCTTTGGAATACTAGCCCAATGCTCTTCCAACTGAGCTACGCGGTCAGGACGGTTCGAGTAAGTGATATTTCGGAACAGTATCTAGTTCCTTCAATACCAATGTGTTCTAGTAATATGAATTTTTTTTTCTTTGTTGGTGTTGTGTACTCAGGTGAATAATATGTTTGCGATGTTACTCTGAGTGCATATCCACACCGGGCGAGCTTGAAAAGTATGCCCGGCCACGGTGGGATTCGAACCTACGACCTTTGGAATACTAGCCCAATGCTCTTCCAACTGAGCTACGCGGTCAGGACGGTTCGAGTAACTGATATTTCGGAACAGTATCTAGTTCCTTCAATACCAATGTGTTCTAGTAATATGATTTTTTCTTTGTTGGTGTTGTGTACTCAGGTGAATAATATGTTTGCGATGTTACTCTGAGTGCATATCCACACCGGGCGAGCTTGAAAAATATGCCCGGCCACGGTGTGATTCGAACCTACGACCTTTGGAATACTAGTTGGAAGAGCATTGGGCTAGTATTCCAAAGGTCGTAGGTTCGAATCCCACCGTGGCCGGGCATATTTTTCAAGCTCGCCCGGTGTGGATATGCACTCAGAGTAATCATTGGTTATTGTTTCAAAATACCGTTTTAACGTTTAATTCTACTTTATATTAACACCCTAATTCAATACAAATTTGTGTGAGGTAAAAAGCCCACCTGTATCAAACAGGACGGAGAATAAAAAATATATATACATACAATTCACACGATCAAGGAACAAGTGAAATATTTCGCTAAACTTAAAGCCTTGGCCAAACGTAAGAAACAATGTCGCGGAACTATTCGTGATTTTTAATGGGCTTTTATTGCAGAAGCAAAATTTGCTTCCCTGCAGAAAGCAAACAATTTGACAATTTCCTACCAAATTCAGAAGCATTTGATGAAACACTCTTTATCCGTTTGCCGACGCTGATAACACAATATGACATACCGAAAGATTGGAAAGACAAATAATATGATAACAGTGTTTCCCAGTTCGTCCCGGGCTTTAAGGCCGTTTTCCACTAGGAGGAATTTTCCGCGCGGAGCGGAATGTTTCTTTGTCTTGTGATTTCTCGGGTGGAACTAATTAGAAAAGACAAAGAGAAATTCCGCTCCGCGCGGAAAATTCCGCCTAGTGGAAAATAGCCTTTAAGGGATATTTATATAAACTCCCAGGAAAACCTCTGATTGAATCTTTAATGTATTATTGAATAACTATGCAAGATGTTTGGCGCTTCTTAAACTGTGCGTTCCACCATCGCTTAGTATACTCTATGGATACCAATCCTGGATTTGGACCAACTTTTCCATTCGCTCCAACCATATTTTCCAACCATCTGTTCCACCCGACGAAGCCGGACTGCACCAGTGAAGGACCTTGAACTGTGAAAGAAACATGTCCCGGGCATCAACTCGAAATTCATCATAAACAAGACGCTTTACGGAGCGTTAACTCGCTGGGGCTATACTAGACTTGGTTGAAGTTATGAGGTTTTCCCCGAGCTAGAGCGGAAAAGTCGGTCGGCCTACAAGTAAAGTTATATTAATATTTAGTACGCTACATTCTATTTCTTCAACACTGTCAGCCGCCAGTTGGTCCATACGCTAGGATTAAACTGCTCTTTAAAACGTTCAAAATATTTGGGAGCTTTTGGGCTCAAAATGAAGAGAGAAGTGAGACGAATCCACTAGTATACGGCGAAAAAGAGAAAACCAATACTGTTGTTTAGTAATACACTTGACATCCGTAAGTACAATTTCTTACGCTGAATCGAACGGTGTGCCAAACGTAACTTGCGATTTGCGAAGCTTGCTGTTTCCATGTCGAAATTCCTTGTAAATTTGTTCAATTTTCCCGAATTTTCCTCAAAATGCAGGGTTATTTATGGATAATTTGGGTCAAATTGGCAGGAGCCTTATAGATAATTGGGGGAAAACTAGGGTCAAATTGGCAGGAGCCTTATGGATAATTGGGGGAAAACTAGGCAGCTCATTAATACTACCCTACTAGCAGCCCTACTAGCGTGGAATGTTAAAGCTGAAACTTGAGAAAAAAGTAAATTCACAATAATTTACTAAAATGTGGAAGTTTTTTTAAAAAAACTGACGGAAATAACTCTCTTCATTGGCATTGCCACAATCGTGAACGAGGTGAGTTGTAAAAAACGATAACTCTCTAACATCTTTATATGACACTATACAAGACTATACGTCTATAGTACGACACTATACCACGCTATACGACACTACTAGACAACACCATACGACACTATACAATACTATACCACGCTATACGGCACTATAAAACAGTATACAAGACTATACGACACTATAAAAACTATACGACACTGTACAACACTATACCACGCTATACATTACTATACAAGACTATGCAACACTATACGACACTATACAACACTACCACACTACACAACATGGTAAAGTGTCGTATAGTATTGTACAGGGTGAGTAAAAAAAACTGATACCTTCGCGGCTAATTTGAATAACAAAGGTGTCAGTTTTTTTTACTCACCCTGACCCAGTATAGTGTTAATTGTATAGTGTTAATTGTAAGTGTGTATAGTCTTGCCATGTCATGTATAGTCATATATAGTGTGGTATAGTGTTGTATAGTGTGGTATAGTGTCGTATAGTCTTGTATAGTGTCGTATACTGTTGTATAGTGTCGTATAGTCTTGTATAGTGTCGTATATGTTGTATAGTGTTGTATAGCTATGACCCAGTTGACTTTGCAGTACACTATAGTATCCATTACATGACGTTTACTATATTGGTGCGCGAACTTGTTTAATTAAATTAAGTGCTTTGATTCATTAAAGTGCCTATGACACGAATTTTCACCCCGAATGTTTATGGTTGCATTGTAAAGATCGCTTAAAATGACTTAATAATTTCTTTTATAAAATTTTGGTAACTTGCTTCCGTTGCAAGATATTCAACTTTGTTTCATATGCAAATATCACCGGTGTGACATCACATCACATAATGAGTTTTCAGAAAAGTATAGTTTTCTTGACGAATACGTATCTAAAGAACTTAAAAATTGCCCTTGTATATGTATTAATTTCATAACTGGTAATTAACCCTCTGTAATTGTTTGTAAAAATATTTTATCAAGGTAAAATATTGCGTTTTCAAAATGTCATTATGCAATGTGATGTCACACCGGTGATATTTGCATATGAAATAAAGTTGAATGTCTTGCAAAGGAAGCAAGTTACCAAAATTCTATAAAAGAATTTATTAAGTCATTTTAAGTGATCTTTACAATGCAATCATAAACATTTGGGGTGAAATTTCGTGTCATAGGCACTTTAATTTACCACTTTAAAACCTCTCGCCCGCAATTTGGACAGTAATTGTAACCTTTTTCAAGAGCATTTCCACAACAATGACAAAATGTAGTCGCGACCATGAACTTTCGCCATTCATATTTAATATTGAAAGCATGCTCGACCAAGACATAGGAGACCAAGACGATCAGTTGACAGATACTCTCTAAAATCGGGATTTAGGCCTTCCATTTCCGGTAGTCGGGTTGTTAAAAAATATTTGTGTTCGCTTAATTAATAAACGTGTTCGCTTAATAAATGTGTTCGCTTAAATAAACGTGTTCGCTTAATAAACGTGTTCGCTTAATAAGTATGTTCGCTGAATAAACGTGTTCGCTTAATAGACGTTCGCTTAATAAATGTGTTCGTTTAATAAATATGTTCGCTTAATAAACGTGTTCGCTTAATAACTGTGTTCGCTTAATAAATGTGTTCGCTTAATAAACGTGTTCGCTTAATTGTTTGCTTAATAAATGTGTTCTATCTATATTTTTGTGTTTCATCTAAATATTTGTGTTGCCCTTGTCGGCCACCGTAGCGTTGCGTGCGGCGAAGTCAGTGAAACGTGATACGGTTCAATTTGTTTTTGGAACAAGATCCAACTTTTCCCCCCAATTTTTAATTCTCAAATTGTTTATTAGATGTTTACTGGTTGGGGTTAGAGGAGGGCATTGGGTTGGGATCAGTTTATCTTATAAATGGAAGCAAATTGGCGTATTTTTTAGAAGACTCGTCTATGTCTACGAACTTTTTAGCACCTGAAACTAGCCATACTAGAAAATACATGCATGCAGAAACCCTCGCCTTGCTGACAAAACCGTTGTATTTTCCGAACATGAAGTATCTAAAGTAGTTGTCATGGTAACACAATAATTTTTTAAGAATATTCTTACAAATGAAAATCGCCTAAAAATATCACTTTTAATTACAAAATTATCAATTTCCCAACATATATATGTTAGGTATGTAATTATACGTAATACAAGCTTCAATTTAAGGTAAAATTCAACCACAAACAATTCACAAAACGTTTTAAAGTGTTCTTTATAAAACTAAACTGCCTTTTAATAACTATTAAATGGCTTTATCGATAAACTTTGAGTTTGCAATAAAATGATTTCAAATTCTCGCTTGCAAATAACTTTGCTTTATTTCTTATTTAAAAAATTCAATATAATAAAAGAGGGAATCAATATTAAAGATACACTGAAATTATATGCTGTCTTGTTTAGTTGTTCATATACGCAAAGGCCGTCGGGTTTTAAAGCCATTATAAAATCAATATTTAAAACAAACTTACCTTCGTTAACGTCGGCTCCCTTCTTTTAGCTGATTCTTTCGCCCTTTCTTTCTTGAAATTTACAAAATCTTGCAGAAATACGAGCAAAAATGAAGAATATTTGCAAGAAATTTATCAATCATCAATCATCAAATCAAGAAATGTAATGTTTGCTATTTCGCTGTCGTCATGCAGTCGTTATAATGCAAACTTTAAATTGGACCAATCAGTGTCCGTTTTTCATGACAGTCCGCCATATTTTTGAGATCAGTGAGGATGACCACCCATCGTTGGTGACCGACGCCCGCGCTCATTGATGAACTTTAGACTTCGCTAATGCCGGGGGGAATTAGTACCCTCGCACGGCGCTTCGCGCCGCCGGCTCGGGGATAATGGCATATCAAGGACTATATAATTTCTATCTATTCAGTTGGCCCATCATTATTTACGGTTGATAGTGGATGATCATAGTTACAGTGGGCCTGGCTTGTCAGGTTGAGTTGCCCGTAGCCGGAGGGTACGCCTGAGCCGGCGTCTTGGCATATTATGGTTGATAATTGCTGATCATGATTGTATTTATTGGTTGTATTTATATGGTCCAGACCTACTGTATCCATATCTATTTCTCTACTACACATTACCCCCTACCACGAAAGTTGCCATTTTCAGGCCAGTGTGAACGCTTGAGCAGGCGTCTTGTTTATCACTATTTCTATACTTGGTTATCACTATTACACTAACACAAAAGATCGTCCATGTATAAGCCCCCCCCCCCGTAAGCCCCAAAATCGCTTACGAAAGAATATAAGGCCAGGGACCGATTGTATAAAACTCTTAATCACTTTTTTCACCCCAGGGATCTAACTTGGGTCCTCTGCTATTCCTTCTTTATATTAACGACTTGCCAAATTGTTTAAAATATACTAAAGCAAATATGTTTGCCGACGACACAAATCTAACCACTGCAAGCTTAAATAAAGAAGAACTACAACGCCAACGGCGATTAAATTTCGACCTAGAGCTTATGCACAACTGGTTGTTGGCCAATAAATTGACATTAAATAAAGATAAAACAGAATATATGCTAATTGGTTTACACCAGAGATTATCGACTGTTGAAACTGACCCGATCTTAGAATTTGGGGATACAAAAATTAAGAGGGTTAATCACGCAAAATCATTGGGCATAATTATTGATGAGCAACTACTTTGGAATAATCAAATTGAAGCTATTTCAGGCAAAGTATCAAAAGGTATAGGTATGCTACGACGAATAAAGAACTGTGTCCCCAAAACAACTTTGATTAAGGTGTACAATGCATTAGTATTACCATATTTTGACTATTGCAGCCTTGTATGGAGCAACTGTAGTGATCAGGGGCCGGTTGTACGAAAGGTGGATAAATCGCTATCCGGTGGATAAGTCCCTATCCAGCGGATAAATTTTATCCGGAGTGAAAATCGCGTTGTACGAAGCATGGATAGCGCTATCCAACGGATAAAATGCACTATCCGTTCGATAAATTTATCCGAGGTCCGGAGGTAGTTTAAATCCACTATCCGGCGGATAAACTCGAAGTTTGAAGACAAAACAATGTGTATTTCATTTAAAAAGGATTGCTATTGTGATAGAAATGGACAAATACCGTTTAGAAGTCCCTTTTTTGACACTAAATAAACATGGAAACTTACTTATGACTTCTCTTGCTCTTGACGTACCGAGCTCACTTTGAGTCAACACCGCGGAAAAACGTCTGCGCATGCACCAAATTATGAAAATATGGCGGGGAATTTGAATATCAATTTCTAAAACAAAAAAATGCTTATTAATTGGTCAAAAATTAGTAAAACAAACGAGAAAATAAAGCAAATGGGTAGACTAGACATTAATTGAAAGCGCCCTGGCGTTTAAAGTATGGAATGAAATAGAATTCATGTAAAAAATTGTTGATTTTAACGGACACGACTTCGAAAATTTTTGCAAAATTATTCAAAACAAAAATTCAAACTCAAAAGTTAAGAAAACTCTTAAGAAGTTAAGCTTCTTAACCCACTCAAATTGTAGAATAAATCCTAAAGTTTAATTATTGTGAACACGCAAATTTTTTTATATTTGGCGACACAGTTTTTTTTAAAGAAATGTATCTCAAACGAAAATTCGGAAATTCTCATTGCTTATGTATCGATCAATTCGAAACTTCACCATCCCCCCCCCGGGCATACCCCGGGAATTTGACTTCAAGTCTTCTCCAGGGAGTAGGGAATTTGACGTTCTAAGTCTTCCATGTGGTGGGGCATTTGATAACGGGGTGGGGAATTTGAACCGGAAGTCTTAAAATGTTGCCCGTTTTCGCGTGCTTCCTGCATGCACAGAAAATACTTCGTAATGGCGGCAAATACAGTTTTCTCAGATTTCGAGGGAAACGGCCTCAATTTTGTGAAAAAACTGGCTCAAAGAAACGGGCATGGAAAATCTATGTGTTTTATTTGAAGGTATGTACTACATAACGTGTAAAACTGTTAAATTTCCACAAGGTATCCAAACTGTTTACGCGAATTTCGCTATCTTGTCGAAAACATTTCCGTATATTTTGTACTTTTTGTATTTACTGTTTCATAATTTTCATATGAAGGTGGGGCATTTGAATGCTTAATTTCTTGTTACAGTGGGGCATTTGAAGACATTTTTTGCACAGAGGGTGGAGAATTTGATCAGTCAAATTTCAAAAAGTTCAAATTCCCGGGGTCGGCCCGGGGGGGGGGGATGGCGAAGTTTCGAATTGATCGATACATTAGTTGATAAACAAAATGTTTCAGACGATAAATTTGTCAACAATCACCTTTAGTTCATGTTCTTGTACAATACAATTTCTTGAACCTTCTGGCTGTATTTATTTCTAGTTTTTAGAATGACATGTTTATTTTTGCGCTTGAAATCTGGCTGTAAAGACGCACAATGAAGTCACTCCTTTTTACCGCCATTTTGAGCCTTCGGAAACGTTCGGAACAGCTTCTCATCAAGTTCGCAATATTGCGAACTATACTATTACAGGTCAGCATGCGCAGACGTTTTTCCGCGGTGTTCTTTGAGTCACTTGCCCATTAAATAATGCCATGACTTTGCCATATTTTATGCAGACCTGTGTCAGTGCTTAGACGTTACATTTTCTGGCTTTTTTCCTTCTTTTTTCCTGTTATATAGCTCGAAAACAGGCAATAAAACTTTCATTAAATGAGTTCCCTTCAACGCCAAACAAATATAGCTGCATATAAATAGACAACAAGGCACCGAAAGTCGAAAAAATTTGTTCGCTGGCCTTGATCAGCCAATCAAATCTTGCGAGAAAATGTTCTTAAAATTGTTTTGAATGACGTGAAAGGTCAAAGAACGAATATTCGGACAGTATATAAAATAAAACTGAATCAACGTACTGAAACAAGAAAACAAAACTCGCAGTCTTTGCTATTGCCTTCGCATATAAAAGAAGCCAAAAATATTTTAAAGAAATATCGTTAAGTAGATAGCAAACTCTTCACTGTGGGAAAACGAAGTATTGCAACGATTGGACGAGAAAAACTCCAAAATATAAACATGAACAAAAACCTTTATTGCAAGTTGATAGTTCAAAGGTTAGTGGAATTCACAAGTTATACGAAGATACTACAACAAAAGTTTACAAATACCTAGCAACAGCTGGCGTAGAGATAAGAAATTTCAGGAAAATCCGGTTTTCTCCGGTTAAAATTAAGGTTATCCGACGGATAGCTATCCACCCTGCTATCCGTGCTTCGTACAACGCATTTTTATTCGGCAGATAGCTATCCATTGGATAGAAGATTTATCCATTGGATAGGACTTATCCAATGGATAACTTATCCACCTTTCGTACAACCAGCCCCTGATCAGTAAGTTGCAGAAAATGCAAAACAGGGCAGCAAGGGTCATAACTGGCAGATCATACGAGACACCTTCAAATGAAGTTTTGAGGGAACTGGATTGGAAACCCTTAATTGATCATTGGGAAAAAATAGTTTAGTATTCATGTACAAAGCGAAGAGAAATGAATTACCAGAGAATTTGATGAACCTGTTTGAAATTAAAAATAACAATTATAATTTACGTAGCAACGGAAATGAGTTTACTCTACAAAAGCCTAAAACAAATTTTATGAAAAAAAGCATTAGCTATAATGGTGCTAAAACATGGAATAATTTACCGAGATGTGTAAAAACAAGTGATGCCACAATTAGGCAATTTAAGGCTGCGCTTGATCGTATTAAACATTAAATGTAAATGTAACTAAGTCCAGTCAGTTTTGCATGGTTTTATATCTTTTATAACTAGTAATAGGTGTTTAGTTAACGTGTGATATCTTTATAACTTTAACATTATGTAATTATTATGTATTGCTTCCATTTGTTAATATAGATTAGTATAGTGTGAACGGCTCCTTGGAAATCAATAACCTAGGTGTGTTGAAGGATAACCGTTGTAAAATAAGATTTTTAATAATAATAATAATAATTTTGTAGTTAAATAGTAATTAACTCTCAAATACGCGCTTCTTATTGGATGACGTTTCCACTAACTATATTTAACTTTAATCACTTTTTTTATACAACCGACCCCAGGGCTTATAGTCGGAGGTTTACGGTACTTATATTAATTAATACACTGAAAAGCCCCAATGGGGAGTGAGCTGAATAATAATGTAATGTAATCCCCAACCTCGTTCCCAGGCTCTTTGATAATTTGAGAATTTGGTCCAATGTTTTGTTTCAGATATATCTTAAAACATTTTCAGGCTTTTCAACGAATTCGTCAATTTCAACATTTTCCCACACGACTTGTATTTGAAGAATTTTGTCAATTTCTCTTAGACTTAGTTTATGAGATACTAACGGGGTATCTTAATTTTTGTTGACTTATAGAAATCATTAAAAGAATATGGCAAGATGTCTGTTATGGTCAGCAGTTCAGAACAGTGCCAGTTTTTACGGTTATTACTGAAATTAATGAATGCAAAGAAAGCTATAGAAATTGGTTTGTATACTTTACATACACTTTTATAGTACAAAATGAAATGCTTTTGGGTGTGTGAGTGAGTTCGTCTGTATATCTTATAGTTAATCAGCGACGTGCAATGATGATGTGCTTTATTACCCTTACAAATTGCAAGCGAATTTAGAGTAAAAAATTGTGTGATAAATGTTACTTCAAGTATTTTTAGTCCGATCTTTAAAAAAAATACGTGCATACAATTATAGCTTACAGTATGGATACAACAGTGAGCTCCATATATATCCTGGAGCGAGAACTTCAGACATTTGGCCTATGAGAAAAGTGAAGCCAAGATGGCGAAAATGACGTCCAATTAGCCTTTTCCCAAAACAGATCACAGTGCATTCTGGATCGTTTGGAGGGACAAAATATATGGTCACAGGCCTCAAATATGTGAAAGAGTAGAAGTAATGAAGTATTTACTATCAAAATCAACTTTTCAGACTACTAAAAATGAAATATCTCGTGGGATTTGCGCGACTAGACCCAGGACTTTGGGAAATGGCTAATAGCTATGAAGGTCGTAAATAGTTTTAATTCTATTTTTCCCGCTAAATTCCATTTTTTTCTAAACGACCATACCGTTAACCAAATTATCAATTGGTAAAACCGTAATGTTATCCATGTCAATCTACGAAATTTCAGCACACTCCTTGCGAAGATGGCGAAAATTGAAGGAGCTATTGAACGTCAGTTGCAGTGCCTTTCTATTGTTTTTGTCTGCGCGGTCAACATGAGGCTGGCTTCACTTTTTAGATTCGAGTTCTCGCTCCAGATATATATGGAGCTCACTGGGATACAACGAGTTTGTATGTTTATTTACTTTGAAACAAAATATACGAAACGATAAATGATAATGGTGTTATTCTGTAGCCCAAATGCTTGATCCTACAGGTTTACCAAGTGCTTGAATCTACTGGTTTACACTGCATGTCGAAGTATCTGTGATCACAGTAGGAATTTTGCAAGAGATGTTAGAAGGATCAGACACACTGTTTACCTTTAACCAATTTTTAGCTTGCCCCTTGTGTGGATTAATTAAGATTAACATTTCTATAGCGAAAATATGCATCTGGATGTTATCAAATGCGCTTTACATCAAGCATTATACAGTAGGTTTACCTGATTACATACGTACTTAGCCTTGACTATTTTTATCTTTACAACAATTTTGATATTACTTTCTTAACTGTGTTTTTCCTAACCCCACTTGTCAACCTTCCCTGGGGGGTATCATCTTGTTGGAACAGTTGTCCAAGATATTTTTGGTGACACCACTGAATAATGAAACCGTCGAGTACTGCACAGGATCCAGTAGCTTTGTCATGCTAATAATAATGTAAGTTACCATAATTGGGCAATCTTGAAATTGGGCAATTTTGATCTAGACAAAACTTTCATCACAGCTTGAAAGAGCATCACAAAATTAGTAATATTCCAAAGTTTCGTTGCAAAATGTTGTAAAATGCGGATAATATAGCCTTGCGAAGTTTGCCGTTTTTCAGTCATTTTGTATTACGCACCGGAAATTGACAGCCCAATCGGGTGTTGGGGCATCAATTTCCCGTTTGTAATACAAAATGACTGAAAATTGCAAATTTCGCAAGCCTATATTATCCGCATTTTACAACATTTCGCAACGAAACTTTGGAATATTACTAATTTTGTGATGCTCTTTCAAGCTGTGATGAAAGTTTTGTCTAGATCAAAATTTAGTCTATAATGCAAATGGTCCATTGTACTGCAGTACAATTAATGATTTCTCCAAAACAAACAAAATGGCGGAAAGATATTTAAACGCAAATAAAATTGTTCTAGAGGAATTTAAAGCAAAAGAGCTAAATAAAAATACGAACAAAAGCACCAAATGTTGGTTGAAAGTCTTGCAGGACTAGGCTTTGGCGAGAGAATATGATTGTTGACATTGAGATTTATCCAATTTTGTCATGCTAATAATAAACAAGTAATCGTGGCGGCTCGCCCAATTTTGGCAAAATGTCCAAGCATCACTCGTACTATTAATCCCTAATTGTACTCGACATCGCATGGTTGCCTATGTTACGTTATGTTACGTATTCAGTTTCAACACTCTCCTGTCCACCAGTAAGATATTCTGGTATTAGACAGAGTAAAATAAAAAAATAACTAAGGCTCACCCAACTTATTAAATAGTTGGAAACACTCTGTGTTTCAGTTTAACGTATCTTCAGTGTTATTTTGCCTACGCCTAGAACCTGTAATTAACAATCACTCAAAAGTCACAGTTTGTTAGGCGATATTTAGAAATAAGTGTTTGGATGTTAAGGGCTAAATCTCCAGAAATTGAAATTTAGTAAAAAATCAAGGCATTTCTGACGAAACTATGACGTAGTAATTTTGTGGCGAATGACGAAAATTGGAGAAAACCTGACGTTTCCCAATAACTAAAAAAGAAAAAAAACCTGCCGCTAGGTTAGAAAAAGGGCGCACTCCGGAACAATGCAGCCAAACGACTTGACAAGGGAACAGTTTGATGATCAAAAAAGGAAAAATAATCACAAACTGATTAATAATTAATCAGTAAATTAGTCAATCATATTGCTTTATTTTGCTCACATGATAATACTGGATAACGGGTGAAGTATGTTGATCCTTGGACTGGATCAAATTAATTCACCTCACTTTAGCTAGTAATTTATTCGTAGAAGATGTCATTTCATATTCTCCTGTTCGGACTGGACTACATTTCAAGTCCTGGCATTGCAATCTAGTCCAGTCCTGACAGTCGGATTTGAAATATTACGTCAAGGACATTACGTCAATGACATACAGAAATCCTCCTGCAGTACCTGATAACCATACGTCGTTTTAGGTGTGTTTACAGGTTATAATCTACTCAATGTTGCTTTGACACTTCCCAAAGATGGTAAAGTGATTGGATGTGATATTTCTTCAGAGTACTTTGATGTTGGAAGACCATTAATAGAGGAGGTGTGACAATTAATGATTGTGTAGGATACTCGACAATAAGCTTTGTGCCTTTTTTCTAATATATAGTATTGTAAGTTACATAGTAATTAGTGTCAAAATTCAATTTTTCTGCTTGCCGATTGGTCAAAACCGTATCACGTGCTTGTCCACAAAACGTTATGTTCACTGCATGCTTTGGCGAGGCGGCAACCGGTCCACAATGAAACAATTATTGACCGGTCAACAATAGAATGGGTGCAGTGCGCATGTGCGTCAACCGTGATTTCCAAAGTTCATTTTATTAAACTTTTTTATTAAACTTTTATGGCGTTCCATTTATCTAGTTTTGGTTCACTCCAATAACCGCTGAATTGTTCATACTTTCACACCTATATACTATATAACAAAACACTTATTTACTGAGACCTCGGGAAAGCAGTGTGTTTTGTGGCCCTTCGGGTCCACAAAACACATAGCCTGCGTAGCAGGCGTTTAGTACGGGCAGGAAAAGAGGAAACGCCTGCCCAAATGGCTATGACAAATTTGTTTTCGCCCATTAAGGATGATTGACGTTTTGTAATTAGGACTTTCACCCATTATCCAATCATAGTCGAGATTTATATTTAGCATCATGCATGCTTTTTACTCGGCAACTAGGGAGATTTGCAGAGATTTTATGTACTTTTTAAAACACGAGCAGCAGTGTTTTGTCAGATATAAAGATGGTCTGATAAAACACGCACTGCGAATGTTTTAAATTTCTTGAAAAACAATCGATCTAGTATAAGTTCATTGGCGAAATAGCTTTCAAAAAATTCGTTGTGTATGTAGAGAAAATCAAATATGTAAATCAAGGGAAATCTCAATCACATATAAAGATACACGTTTATGATTTTTCTTTGTGTTTTTTCCTCATGAATTATTAATTAGTTTTTGAAGCTATTTTATTAGACAACAGTCACAACACAGAGCTTTTATCTTTTAAAAGGCTCCTGAATTACCACGGTTGTTTAACGTATTCTGCCGTATAGCAAATTAACTGCAAATAACAGTTGAGCATGTTTTGAAATTTTATTCTTAAAATCATCACCCAACCTCATAGCTGCAATGCCAAGTGATATAGCCTCAACTATCTGGTCTTGAATTATACTTTAAAGTGAACAAATAACAAGAAAACTATAAGGAATATTCCATTGCCGATTTTCCGTATTCCGTAGGAAGAATCGCGATAACCGGCGTCTTCACCACGTAGCAAATTAATAATAGACTTTCTTCATTCTGGTTTCAACTGAATTTCGAAGCCTAAATACTTGAAATATAAGAGTTATATATATATATATATATATATATATATATATATATATATATATATATATATATATATATATATATATATATATATATATATATATATATATATATATATATATATATATATATATATATATATATATATATATATTATATTAATTTTATAGTATGCGAACCCCCAGGGAAAATTTGATTTCATTACGAGTGCATGCTGTTTATCTTCACATCCTTATCGTGAGCAATGTTTTCTGGTAGGATGAGATCACAACGGATGGAAAGTATTGAACTGAGCGTTTCTATTTTCGAAACTGTATTACATATAGTGTATTTATAATAATATTCCTTATGAAATATCTGCAATTGAAAAATGCCATTGATTAATTGAAGGCAACTGTAATTATGATAATCAGAAAATAGGACAATACCAATACCTATTGACTGCAGTAGTGATAATTGTGCAGTTTTTTAGCATCTCCAAGAACAAGGCGTAAGACTTGTGCAAAAGAAACCAATTTAAAAAAAAATGGAGCGGTCTTTAAACTAGGCAGCCCATACTACCGGACCTCCAACCATGGAAAAGACAAGAAAAGTCAAGACTGTTTTCTACTTTTCTCGAGGACAATGTAATAGAGCATGAAGTGATACTGTATCAAAACTCAAATTAGAGTTGGGCAAATTAGAAACGCAAGTTAGGAAAAAATGTACTGCATATTTAATTTTTCAATTAGCGATCGTTTCAGCCAGTCGACAAAACCCTGATTGTTCAGTTGCATCTTTTTTTTGGCAACGCGTACCAACCATGAAAATTCATTATATTTTACAAGCAATTAAACTGTTTTTTATACGACCTTTAATTATAAGTACTTCTCCTATTACGAAAGGGCACTTTTTCCAATCTTTAGAATTGGGAAATGGCACATTGAAGAAAACTGGAGGGATGTGCCCACTATGTCCCCGCGGTCTCTACGCCACTACCTGAAAAAATATATCGTGAAGAACAACTACTGTATATAAGACTACTAAGAGACATGAAACATAAAACAATATAAAATTCTGTTTTTAGGCTGGAGTCATGGACAAAATCGATTTACGAATTCAACCAGCTGTGCAAACATTAGGTTTGATAATTTTTTGTCATTCTAAAAGTATGCGCAGGGATTTAAGCTGTTTAAACTGACAGTATAATTAAGACTACACTCGCCGAAGTCCAGCCTAAACCGAAGCGAAATTGTTTGAAAACGTCACTTTTGCTTGAGCACGCTTTCTGAACAGATCGAGATGAAAACGGAACGCTTGGGCCGGCTTAGTGTGAACGTAGTCTAGCTGAGAGGATTTCTTCAATTTCATCAATCGATTTAAAGTCTGGGAGCGTCGCTTTCATGAATTATGAAGTAATTATCGAGTGTATTTGATACCTGAAATATTGATGTACTGAATGAAAGGAAATGGTTTGTGTAAAATTTAAAGTTTGCATCACTTGCAATGACATATTTAATTTATATTGTATTTGGTTAATAACTCGTCATATTTTTGTTTTAACTCTGCATGTTCACCAAATCATAGTTTAACTGAAGCTTATTCATTTTCCTATATTTTCATCCGTTGTTTCACAAGGGTACTTGGACCACTGCTTATCTTAGCGTACTACTGCGTATAAAATTCGAAAAACTCAGCGATCCAGATATCGCATTTCCAGAGACGTTGCACGAGAAAAACCCCACCAGGTCAACTTCCAAGAAAGTGCAGAGTAGGATAAATACAAAAGCCACAGACAAACGCGGTAAGATTCGTTGACAAATGAAGAAATTGTTTGAGACTGAAATAGTCACTCATTGAATGGCCACCATCTTGAAAACTGATCTGTATGGTGAACTGGAACGACTGGAAACTGAGCCTGCGATGCTCTAACGCAAACTCGATTTCTAGTCGACGAAAACACCCCCAGATAATTAGGGATTTAAGACACTTTAGCCATGTTTCTTTTGAGCTTGACTGCCGAGGAAATTGGTGGAATGACATTCTGGATTTTTCATGCTGTTGCTTTTACAAAGCGGTACACAACATGTTGTTCGTTCTTTCTTTTTTAACACAGTTTCATTTGTAGTCTATCTTTTCTTGCGAAAAACAAACACCAAAGGCAAAACACGAAGGAAAAGCAGTCAAAGTCAACAAATTGCGAGGAGCGACAGCGAGCGTCCAGTAATATACGAACAAATATTTCTCCTTGTAAATTCTTCAACAACAGCCAATAGTACTTAAAAGTACTTTTTAATAGTTGAAATCTTTGAAAATGAAAAAGCCGATACTTTGAACGGATAGTTTTCGCGCCAAACGTCCTCAATGTTTTGGTTTGTAAATGAAACACTTGTCTTGATCAAACATGTGTTGTTTTTGTAACCTGACTTGTTGTGAAAATATTTTTGCCTCCACTCTCTGGAACTATTAACTGCGACTCAATCGCAGAACTGCATGTTGATGTGATGAACAAGTGTGTCTTACTTATTTTACACAAATTTTAGCGATGTACTCACTGACCTTTAAAACGTGTGAAAAGTCAAAATTTGTGTTGGTTCATGTCCGATCGAACCATCATGTTTGCGTTCGGCCGGTCCGATCGTCATGTTATATATCTCAAAACCAATGAATCTAGACATCCCATGTTAGACTACAGACAAAAACAAACCTCACAGAATCTCTAAAAGCTTTTATTGAAAACTAAACGAAAATATTGCTCGTGTAAATTTCACTTATTGACCACGCACGCATATGCAAAGGAAACAGCCGCCATCATGCAAAATTCTGTTGTGGTAGCTAAACTACCATGACGCTTTGCGTTATTGCAAGTTACGAATTGGTACAATAATTTCATTTTTGGTGGCATTAGCGGCAATTGCCGTTTGCAGCCGAAAATTGCAAGGTCTGGATAGAAGACTTCACTTACCATGGGACACGTTTATCAATTTACATATGCATCTTTTTCAGACTGCACTACCATGCCATTTCTCAAATTAAGTGCACGATGTTTACCTGCCTTTTTACGAATATAAAAGTCTTATTTTTTGCAGATGAACTATTAGCAGCAGGCGAAGGTGGTACATTTGATTTTATTTATATTGATGCGGATAAAGAGAATTATGATACTTACTATGAGAAAGGATTGCAGTTGCTCAGACCAGGAGGCGTTATTGCAATTGATAATGTAAGTAAACTATCTCGGATTAACAAAGACTGCATGTTGCCAGAGGCGTAGCCACGGGGCAAGGGGGGGGGGTTCCAATTTTGTAACTCTTTCAAAACTGAAAAGAAACTGGGGGGAACGTATAACCTTAATTGTTTTCATTTATGAGAAAATATACTAAATCTGCGGCTTTCAGATTAACATAAGATGTGTATAAAATGCATGAAATGATTCTGTGGCGGCACAGTTGTAATGTCGTCACCATGTTCCTACTGAAAATATTCAAAATGGCGGACGTTCAGGGGTTAAATGCTTCTCATAAACGCACTGGCTAGGAACACCGATAGTTTATTTTGATGATGAATCATGGCGTGGAAGCGGTTTTTTGGCTCGTAGACAAATTTTTTGTTCTCACCACGTTAGGGCGGTAAAATGTTATCTACAGTCAGGGGTGTAACCAGTCCCAAAAGAGTGGGGGAGGGGGTCTAATCATCCGGACATCCAGGGCATGGTCCCCCAGAAATAATATCTACTTTTAGGCAAAACCTAGAAGTCGGCTTTCTGTAAGGTCTCTATTCTGTGTGATTGTACCACCATTATTTTTGCCAGCCAAAAACGTAGAGTTCGTGACGTAATATTTCCGCCTGACTTGAAGATCTGAATGTGATTGATAACAATATAATTTTTATTAAGGTGTTGTGGGGTGGCCGGGTAACGAAGGAAGAAAAGGATGAAGACACTACCAGTATTCATAATCTGAATCAAAAGATTCATAAAGACGAGCGAGTTGATAACAGTCTTCTTCCTCTTGCTGATGGACTGAACTTGGTCAGAAAGATTTGAACATTATCACATAATACTAAAAATGGATTATAGTCATTTTGATCATATTTCATTTCGGAGAGTGCGTCTTGTATTAACTTGAAGCTAAAGCAGACATGATTTGAAAATCCATATCATTTTGTTATAAACAAGAAATAATTGATGATTTTTTATGATTTATTTTTAAAAATTTAGACTTTGCAACCACAAGGTTGAAATACATCTATCATTTACATTCTATCACATTGACTATTATACAAGTAATTAACAATCTAGATCCTGTTAACTGATTATTAGTTAAAAAGAATAGTTATGTAATAAACGAATGCAATACTTCAATTGTAATGAGACTTAAATATATAAATATATATAAGATTTGGTTTCGTTGGTTATAAAAACTTTTGGTAAAGTGCTCAATGGAAAACCAGAGCATATTTAATATATATCAATAATTCATGACGAAAATTAAAAAGAATGAGATTTAATCTGATTTTAATCTGTAAATCTGTTACAGATTTCGTCTTGAATAACATAATCATTTTTCTCAGCTGAAACAATGTGTATCTTCGGACCTCTCTAATATACGGACAATGAAGGGATGCAGCTACGAGTGTCCGTATCAGAAAGGTGTCCGTTATATAAATGTTTTTGAAAAGAAATCGTACTTGATAAAATTATTAATGGATGATTCCAGCTATCAACTAATTTTTATCTGGACACGAAAGACGAAATCTATCATTATAGCTCAAAAAAGCATCCTAAAATTAGTAAAATTGCAAAGTTTGGTTGCGAAATGTTGTAAAATACGGAAAAATAGCCCGGTGAAATTAGCAAATTTTGAGTATTTTAGTATTACGCACGCGGTAAAAATAACCACTTTCGGCTCAAAAATAACCTGAATGTCAAGTCTTTATTTTTTTCCAAATTTGTGAATCTGTCATTTGTAATTATAAAAACATTGCTATTCATGTCTGCTCTGGACTCTGCCTCTGGTCATAGAGATTTTAATCATGCACGCTTCATATAAAGCTTTAATATAATCCTGTTTATAATCAAACATGCTTGCACAGATCTTGAATTTTAGTATACGATTGTGCGGGTATTAAAATAAGAAGGAAGCCTATTGCTGGCATGTGTAACTGCCCTACCAACTTGCAGGTATAACTGAACTACAATTATTAAACACCAAAAACAGGCTGGACTATTTTATATTACTATTGTAGTCACTGATATCGCTCTGACTGCAAATATGGGTGATAGTGTTGAGATCTATTCTTCAAGGATTGTCTCTCACCTCAATTTCACACACAGTCCAATGGAAGCTCAGTCTGTTTACGTACAGTTGAAGGATCTTGTAGATGGAAATAATCGAGTGGAAATGTATTTTGTTTATTGTTAGTGGAAATGTTACTTGTTTGCGAATTCGCTTTAGAAAACGCCAGAAATGCAGTCCTGGAGCTTCAAAAATATAAAAAATTTGGGGGGTGAGGACCAGACCCCCCTTTACTTTGGAAATTTAGTATGACAGTGGAAATCAATAAAAAAAAGCTCTATCATAATTATTGCACATCAGACAAATTTTTTACATTAAAGTTCAAATTTCAGGTAAAATCCGCCGACACCCTCCCCCAAACTTCAGATGCCTCGCTACGTCCCTGACGATCAGTGCAATCACCATACAACGCTGAACCTTGCAGTTGTGAGAGTATATGGAAAAGCAAACACACAGCCATTGTGCTGAGATCATATCGACATGTTTCAAGTTTCAACCTTTCTTTGCAGCATTTAACAGCAGTGTCAATTCAGTTGCATGTTCATACTTTTATAGCTAGAGTTAAATGTTGTTTGTTTAAATTTATACCTGCATCATTTACAAAATTTCAGTCTTATGATCCGCCTTAAAGTTTTGTTTTTTTTAAACAAGCTTGGACATAAAACACCTTGAGGAACTATTAGGATGGGATGCAATGGTCGACTTTTCAACAAGGGGTAACGCATGTTTGGATAACTGCCTTACAAATAGAATAGACTTGTTCTCAAAATGTTATCCTTTCCATATGTTAACTTAAACAGACCACATGGGGGGTTATTTTACCAGCAGGAACGAAACTAAAACCTATGCGCCGAAAGGTTGAATTTTGGGATTGTAGAAAGCATCGAAAGGAAGATTTCCACAAAGCTTTAGCAGAAGAAGATTGGGAGGATGTATCGCAGTCCACGAATGTAAATGACGCTGTGAATTGTCCAACCTCGTTCCCAGGGTATTTGCTCTTGGGAAGCAAAGACCCTGGTGGACGCTGGTCACGTGACCCATAGAAAATTGATAGCCTCAGAGGGGGATGGAAAGGTCTCATATTACATGTTTCCACTTCCGCACTTCACACTTCGATTGCAAGAAGTGGCCGTGCTGTACAATAATCTTTGAGAATCATATATTCTTCAAAATTCTTGCTAAATTGGTTTCTGTTTGCCGTTTTAAATTATACAAACATGGTAAAATGCAGATTCTTGTACTAACAGACAAGTCAGCAAATCAAGCAACGAAAACGTATGACCGTATGGTTTGAAATATTTGCGTTTTTAATATTCTCTCGGGGTTCGGGCGCAATATTTTCATTTCATACGTACGTTTCTGTCCTGTCTCTGCCTCTGGTTCAGATATTTACAATATTCTTATAATATGCCATTGAATTGTTGTCATATAGAAAGGAAACGGTATAAATTTTGTAAAATAGAGGTATCAAAAGCGACTGACAAAATTGTTTGGAATCGACACTCGACAGTGCACTTTTTTGTCTTCACGACTACCTGTTTGTTGAGCCAAAATATTGCACAGAATCTCCTATAATAAATTATAGCTATCGCCATTCATCCTCCCACCCTGAATGCAAAGGAATGATATCCGAAAAGATTTAGCAAAGTATTTGTTATTATATCTGGTACGAAGTGTCCCTATACGTTTTATCAGGGATATATATTTATATATACATAATTCATAAACTGTATATGCGCACCAAGTCTCGCTCATAGAATTACTTAATGAGTTTTATTAAGCCTTTTAAAGTTTCTATTGATACTGATAGATAGGTTGTTTGCTTACAGTTACGAAGTATCATTTGGTGAAACCTCTAAAATTTCAATTACAGTTACGACACAGTATAGGGGTCAATACGATAAATATTAAAGACTTAAAGTTGATTTAAATATTGATGACTCACAGCGGCATTATACAAGTCGAAAGAAGCTGGATTTTAAGTTGGATTATTCTTCAAATAATGCCTGGGCATTAATACCAATACCAATGAAAGGTCTTTATAAGATTTATAATGTTTACTGCAATATATGATATAATTTAGTCTAGTGCACATATCGTCCTAGGACCTAGATATTCAAGTTGTACCGCACGCACCGAGGAGTCTTGGCGTGTGATAACAGTATACTGTAGCCCTTATCTCTTCTGTGCTGTAGCTGTACTTCGACATATATCATTCTTGATCATTGAGCTGTTTCAGCAATGTAAATAAAAGGAATAACGGGTTTTAATCCTGTGCTTACTGCAATTCACAGTCAAAACAGCACTATTGTTTTTATATACACAGTTGGCAATATGTTCAGTACTTCAGTTGGGAAATCAATAGCCTACGAAATCAAAGGATCCTGTTATAAAATAAATCCTTTGTTTTAATTTGAATATCGGACAGGATACATTTCAACTATAAACAACCATATCATATCGTTCGTTTTATATAAATACCGTTTGATCGATCAGTCGGTGTAGAAGATATCAGATATGTATGTTTATACGGCGATCTGATGCGTGCTCACTAGCCAGGCGCGTGTGGAGTTTTTCCTTGCAAGTGAAATATGATCCAGCTTCTCGCTTGAAATGTACCGCAGCACTTATTATTGATGACATTCAATATAGCAGGAAATCTTGTCATGATGAGTACGAATGTAGAAGAGTATAAATCATGTTTATTAATACATGTAAACTGAAGTATACAGCACTAATGCATCTGGCGAATGTCAACTACTACATTCCCACCCCTCCCAGATTGACAAAACAACGCTAATTAAAAATCTGCTAGATTTTAGCAGATCACGTGACCAGCGTCCACCAGGGTCTTTGCTTCCCAAGAGCAAATACCCTGGGAACGAGGTTGTGAATTGTCTTGAACGTAAGATCATGGATCATATGAATAAATGTATGTAATTAATGAGGAAATTTTATCCCCAAGGCAATTTGCGTACAAGCAGGGGGAAGTTGTACAAACGCTCTGTTAACTATTCAGAACAAAGTACTCAGCTTCTTAGACAGAGCGGACTGCAAAGCAGTTAGACTGTTTTCTATGGATTTTAGTAAGGCTTTCGACTCAGTGAAACATTTACTCCTCTCGGAAAAGTTAAAAATAGGTACGCAGCGCGTACATGTTGCATGCCAATGAACCTTATGATGCGCGCGCTTATAACGATGCAAGTTCAAAATTTTTATTTCAATTACACTACTGTCATTTATCGCAATGAGCATTGAAATTTTTGGGGTTTCAAATTTCTCTAGGTGGGGCGGGAAAACGTTTGGGGGGTGCACAGGTTTTTCTGGGTTTTTTGTTTTGGGGGGTGCGTACTCCTCCGCACCCCTCCATCCGTCTGTGTTATAAGCAAATATTTGCCTAAATCTAGGCTTGCAGATACAGTACAACTTTCTGACACGAGACATGTATAGAAAGTTTTAATTCATTAGTAATCTAATGGAACGATATATAACGTTTGATAATGATAATCAACAAAAATAGTACAATACTAAATAAGATTTATTTTGGATGATGGGTACTCTATATGCAAAACTGAAATTAGAGTATGGATTACAGTCAATTTTTCAATATATAAAATAAGTCTATAAGTCTGTTATACGAGCAATGGACTTGATATGCATCATAATCAACATCTTCAAACTTAAACAGGGTAGAACATGCACTGTAATACGCAATAATACGTGTTCTATTGTCATAGAAAAGTGACTGGTCTTTTAGTTTTCACTAGCTGAATGTTCGTTATTTATAATTCCCGTTGTTACTGACCATTTTGGGCTCGATTCTGACTATTTGAACAGGTGCAATGTACCATACAACAAAGTACTTCTTCAAGTACTGTGCATCTTTCTTAATTATCAAGTTTTAGCTTTTCTTTGTACTGTATGTGCGACTTCGTTGAGCAGCTTTTCGCTTTAATTAACATGTTTTGGTATCAGAGCCAGGTGCAATGTGCCTTACAACAAATATCCAAGTTGTATCTTGAAGTACTGTGCATCTTTCTTAATTTTCATGTCTTCCACAATGAATTTTCAGAATACATAACGAACACAACTGTAGACGTTTTCTTTGTACGTGCGATTTCGTTGAAGCAATTGGTAGCTGAAATGAATTGTTTCATTTTCGCATATTAATTGACATAAGATGATATCATTCAATATAATTTATCCACCAATGTTGTCAGTATTCTTGTATAGTACATCTTTGGTATATCTGTAAACATTAATGCAACAGTATTAGTGAATGCAATTAACGTAACGTGGATAAGCCATACAGTCGGAGCTTTGTTGGTGATATGACTAGATGTGGTAATAAGACGTAGCAACATACCAAGTATCTATTTTGAGTACTTTTGTTGACTGAAGTTATCATTAAAGTGACCATGATTAATGTATAGAGATATCTAAAAAAGAAAAAACCCAATTAAACACAAAAATACATGGAAGGGAGAGGGGGAAAGAGATAAAAAGAAAACTTACCTAAATGTATAGCCATCGTCCACACAATGACTTAATTTTATAACATTGACAGTGGCACAGCGGCTTGCGTTAATAACACTGGGAGTGGCGCAATGGCTTGCCTTAATAACATTGGCAGTGGCGGAATGGCTTGCCTTAATAACATTCGCATGCAGTGGCACAATGGCTTGCTATCTTTGCAATACCTAATTGAACGGTATATAATTATTATTTCTATGTCCTAAGAGAAGCCCATATTGCTTTATGATCACTAAAGTATGTTTCTAGAATACCAGCTTCAATTTCCTCTTCAATTAAATTTGTGTATAAATGATCAATTAACGTTCTGTTGTCGGTTGTAAAGCCTGCTATCAGTTGCCTGTAATGATTTTGTACAACCATCAAATTGTAGAGTGACTGTCGATCAGATTCTACCATCCAGTTGACATTGAAATCTCCAATTATAATGTTTTGTGCAGAAGAATCTTCATCAAGTACGCTACGTAGTGAAGACAGTAGACGTGATATAGCAATATTGGGTGAACGATATACTCCAATTATATTCAAATGCGGATTACTTTCTGTTTTAATAATTGTGAACTCGATTCCATTGACGTTGTGAGTATAAGGGTATCCTTCTTTTAAAGGGACTCGGCTATAAACAGCAGTTCCACCGTATGGACGTCCTGGACCCGTACCTTGGGAAACATCATTTCTGAACAACCTGTAGCCATCAATGTTGTATATATCGTCAGTGTCCGAGGAGTTAAACCTTGTTTCAGTAAATATCACAATATCCATAGACGAGTAATTAATATCTTTTCGAACATCTTCAATGTGTTTATGCAGAGATCTTGCATTGAGGTAACAAACTTTCAAATCAGATTGATCCAACATATAAAGTGGTTTGAAACAAAGATTCAAACTTTGTTCGGTTCTTAAGATTTTCATTTCCTTGACAACTCTTTGATCAACAGAGATCTTGTCTTCACATAGGTCAGTGATGTATAATCCTTCTATTGTTGTAACTCGACTTAAAGCAACATAATGAATGTGAGGAAAAGCCCTGTTGCTGTTTAGGTTTACAACAATCTGTGTTTGAGTATCACCTTGTGATCTATGAACAGTTTTTGCTGATGCCGGTCGCAAAGGAAACTGTTTTCTAACAACTTGAGCAGATTTCGTTCTACCAACTGGAAATTGGGTTGTGACAGGTTTAATTGGTGTCCATGTGCTTTGAATTCCTCTAACATAAAGCGTTCTGTTTTCGTGACGAGTTTTTCTACCAACGTCTTCATAATCAAATTGGACCCAGATAAGACCCGAAGGTTTATTCTCATCAGTGAGCTGTATCAACTTTATAATGTTACTCGCCCCATTTGTAAGACCATCATCAGTTCGCACATTTGTTGCAACTTCTGTACGTTGCCCAACAGCAAGTTTTAGCTTGTGAGCTAACTGTTTAGAATTTCTTAACGGAACATAAGGTATTTGCCTCATTATTTTTTCCTTAAGTTCAGCTGAAGCTGCTCCAATAACACTATCTTGAGCTTTAATTGTATATCTATTATGAGTAAATGATTCATATACTTGTTCATTATATTTGTCTACTAAAGCATTTTGAATAAACAAGCGTGGAGCTTCTTGAGGACAATTCGATTCCTGAACACATCTTTCCTTCAGCTTTTGAAGATCAGTAGTTGTATGTTTACCTTCTCGTAACCTGTTTAAGATTTCAGCAAACATTTTACTTTCTCTTTGTCGCATGATCTCATCAAGTTCAAACATTCTAAAATATTTTTTCCATAAATTTGGAGCAAGAACACTATAATAGTTTAAAGACTGGAGATCAGTGAAAATGTAGCCATCCATGACAGGTTTAAGTTGAAATAAGTCACCGATTGTGATGATGCTAACGCCACCAAAGTCGTCTTTGCTTCCTTTTAAATCTTTTAAACGGTTATTTAACTGTATTGTAAACATGCTGTTTCCAACCATTGATATTTCATCCAGTAATATCAATTTTAATGCACCCAGCTCACATCGTAAAGTGTTCAACCTACCAGAGTCCAGTGGCTTATAAATTTTAAGCGATTGGCTTGCTGGAATTGATAAGGCACTATGGATTGTGTTTCCTTTAATTAGATAAGCTGCTTTTCCTGTTGGAGCAAGCAATAATACTTGAACGCGACGAAAGTCTTCGCCAGCTCGTTTGTTATAGTGCTTTAAAGCAGCCTGATAAATTGACTTAATCAAGTGAGATTTACCAACCCCTCCACTTCCACTTAAAAAGGCATAAAATGGATTATCAGATATCTTCATTAAATGTAAAGCATGATAAAAAAATTCCCTTTGTTTCTTGTTTAGCATTTGGACCAAACGTCGGTATTCATCATCTTCCATTTCATTTAAAATGAGTGGTTCATTATTAGGTAACCTTGATGGGATACCCAAGTCTTCAGAGACATCATATGTTTCATTTAAATCTGGATGTGTATCTGTATTACCTTCGTTTTCATCCCGACGTTCAGTGTCTTGTGTAACTGGTGCTATTGTGTCATACGCATCATCATCACATTCTTGTAAGTGATGTTGAATTTCATTTAAATCTTCACTACAAACCGCATATTCTTGCATTTGTTCACTGATTTCATCACGACGAGCTTCGTAATGTTCTTCAAAGGAAGAGTAAGCTCCCTTTAAATCGACCTGTTCATTTCGCCATGGAGTGAAAAGCATGATCAACTCACGATAATGTTTTTCTGGTTGAGATTCTTTGTTAAACCAAACACTGCGGATAATTCTTGCTTGTGATCTTTTTTTGATAGACTTTTTAGATGAAACACAACTTTCAGTGTTTTGAACACCTAGGTCATCATCATTATTTTCATCTTCATCTTCCAAAGGAAGGTTGTCAATATCTGATTTTTTAACAGATTTCTTATACTTGTTCAGCCCAGATGAGTCGTACCAAGCTGCCCAGTCAGCTAATGTTATATTTTTTAAACTGTCTGGTCGTTCTACATATCGTTTCAGAAGTCCACCAGAGTGAATTTCTTCAGACTCGTCTGACATCTTCTCAATCTCACTGAGAGGTTTCAATAGTTCAACACGATCACTTGGAGGAGATGTGTTAATGAATACAACATTTCGAGAAGATTTTCTCATGGGAAGTTGCAGAATGAGGTACACTGCTTCTTGTGCACTTATTTCAACAGAGTTTAAAAACTTGTTGCCAATGTCACGAACCTGTTGTTTGATGGTGGAATTACCTTCCTTAGCTTCAGCACATGCGTTACGTAACAAGTCACTCATTCCTTTTTGAGCCTTCGAAATATAGGAAACAATGTACATTGCACAGGCATATACATCCAGCACAAATTGAATGTCCATGTTCGCTCTCCATGCTTGGAGGCAAGCAGGATTATAATTATTAATCCTTAATTCATTGGGACTTCTTTTTAGAAATATTGTTGGACAATTTAGTGATGACCGAATTGCAAGAATATATTGATATTCTGAAACATCTAGTTCTTTTAGAAGGTGATCAAATGTTACGTCTTCTCCGTCTTTTAAATCATTTAGTTTATTCTTAATATTTTTCCACAACTCTTTTCTGGCTCTTATGACAGTTTCAGAAGCATTGTCATCAAGTGGATAAAGTATCTGTGTTGATCTCATGGGTGGCTGAGGATAATTGAATCTACAAACTTTTTTGGAGTTTTTTCGGCATGTGTGAGAATGTCTATGAGTTTGTCTGTTTACAAGATCAAATAATTCAGTGTCATTATCAGGCTTTCTACAAGTTATTATTTGGTCAATGAAATTTACTACATCTTCATCTTTATCAACACCAAATACAGGTGCATTTTCAAGCCATATGAGCATATGGATGTGAGGCGAGCCTCTCTGTTGGTATTCAACCCTGTAAAACCAATCTTTCAGTTTCCCTAATGGGGCAATTTCACTCATTAAAAAATCTTTTAAGAAAGTATTAAATTGGTAATCAAAATGCCTTGCACAAGTTACTGGGTCACTTTGAATTAGTCTACACTTTTCATCCCAATTTAAATTATCTAATTGTTCATCACTATAGTCTTTGTGATCAACAAGCTTACCAAGGATTCTTAGTAAATGATTCCATTTTGTTTCAGCAGATGAAAAACTACAAAATAATGATGCAGGTCCTAACTGCCGAATCATAGCAAACAAATCCTTTTTTGCTTTTTCAAAGTAAGGTGGGGAACCTCTCAAAGCTGTTAAAAATTTGTATCCTTCATCATGGCAAATGAGATTTGTTAAACCTTCTGGCGTTTTCAAATCACCAGCAGTAAGTGTTCTGTTTCCCATTTTACACTTGCGAATAGCAAGCTGCGATTGCCCCAGCAATAATTTCATCTGCATTTTCTTAGTTTTAAAAAATATGTTCTCAATACACATTGCAGCTCTTCGATCAGACCGTCTAAGTTCTGATTTACATATTTCACTGTAATAAACACGGGTCAATCTTTGCTTCTCATCAGGCCGCTTTTGACCTAAGAATATTCCTGGATAAGCTAGTTCCTCTGAATACTGATCTCTAAATATACTGAGTGGTCTACTACCTTCACCAGGTGCCACATTGTATATATGCTGTCTTTCAGTATCATCTACAAAATCAGTAGGTGTAAGCATACTGTCTGTTACACCTGCAGGAATTTCTGCTTCATCTTCACTCCATTCATCTTCTGAAGATGCTGAATTAGTTTGATCAACTGTAGTATTTTCATTGACACTATTATTAGGTGTTGGAACATCAAAGTATGATAACCAATGCTGATCAAAAGTTATTCCTTGTTCTCGATATAGTTCACTAGTATTTACCAACCAAGCTGCAGCTTGCATCACTTTATTAGGCCTCACATTCAAAGACAAGGCAGAACTCTTATATTGCAGTCGACGTTTTAATTGAACTTTAATAGTCCCAGTATCTTGTGGCAACCTGGGTAGCATGTTAACGGTATTACATATGTCTGCTGGTACATTCACAACATTACCAGTAATTTTAAGTTGCCGTCCTCTCGGAGCTTGCATTATTTTTTGAAATGCCAATCTTGGAGCTATAAGTCTGCATTCTAATTCATTCAAATCAAAGAAGTCAGGTTTTTCTGGAAACTTCAAGCCATTTGAAACTGCAGATGGTGGCACTTTCTCCTTTTTAAGATGTTTGTCACATGTCAAACACAGCCATTCAATATTATCCACACTTTTAATGCCCTGTAGATGTTTAGTAGAATTTGGATTGGACAATCGAAGTCTCTCAGCAGGACAAACACTGTGCTTATACCATAATTGATCACAGCATGAACATATATACAGAGGACCTGTTGATACAGATTTATGGAATTTATGTAT